ACATCCCGCGCGCCCATTGGCCGGCCGCCGGCCCGCCGACCAATAGCGCGAGGCCTTACGCCTAGAGCGGAGGGGGCGGGGCCCAGCGCTCAATGGTTGCCCGGCAACGCGCGGGGACGCCGCGGCCACTGGCCGCCCTGTGGCGCGGAGAGGGGCGGCCCCCCCTGGGGGCGGAGAGGGGCGCTGCTCTGGGCACCCGCACTCAGCCTCATAGTACTATAATGTAATGTAATTAATATAATGTAATGTTTTAATTTAATATAATATAATATAATGTAATATAATATAACGTAATGTAATGTATTAATATAATATAATGATACATGATAAAGAAATAACATTATTATTAATAATAATAGTGCTCAAAATGTGGGATAAATAAATAATCTAATAATAAACAAACAAATAAATAAAATAAATAATAATACTAATAAAAGCGCTCAAAATGTGGGATCATTTTTGAGGCAGCTAATCGGCAATATGCAAAACCCAAGCTATTCTTGGGGCGTTTTAATGGACTTTTAGGGTTTCCTGTCAGCACTCTCTCCTGACCGGCGATCCTGGTTTTCTTGGATTAAAAAAATCCCCAATTTTCAAATTTAAAAAAGGAACCCCCAATCCACCTTTTTCCATGATTAAAATGAAACTCCACTAATATCTATAAATATCTAGATATAGATCTATCTATCTATCTATAACTATATCGATATCTATATGTATAGATATATCGATATCAATATATAGATATCTATACATATCGATATCTATAGATATATCGATATCGATATATCTATATAGTTGTGTTTCATTTTAATCACGGGAAAAGGTGGATGTGGGGTTCCTTTTTTAATCTGAAATATATATTAGCGGTGCCTCACTTTAATCACAGAAAAAGGCGGATTTGGGATTCCTTTTTTTAATCCGAAATACGTATTTAATCTGAAATACGTATTAGTGGTGCTTCATTTTAATCATGGGAAAAGGTGGATAGGGGGTTGCTTTTTTAAATCCGAAATATACATTTAATCCGAAACATATAATAGCAGGAAAAGCTTGGAAGTCAGGACATTTTTCTCGAGGGAAAAGCTTGGAAGTCAGGAAATCTTTATTTCCTGGCATTGGCGCAGACTTGGCTGTCATTTTAGGCTAGTCTGGCTTTTTTTTTTTTGCCAGTGTACAAATTTAATCTGATTCTTTGGGCTCAATTTTCGCCGCTGTTCAGCCAGTGAAGTCACTGGGATAAACCAGCCAGTACTGGCTGCTGATGCAGGACTGGCCTGTCAAGCAGGAGCACGGTGCTCCCCTCACACCATGCAGTCGTGATGGATCATCGGATCTGAGCTCCAAGAAATTAGACCTAAATTAATGACTTGTGCATTGCACACGCGACCTGAACTACTCTGTAAAGCCTTTGCCCTCTTTCAACTTCTTCGAAACCCACTTTGTCACGAGGCCTGGAGGAAATCAATGACTGACAGTTCTCAGGGTCCATGAAGTTAGCTGGTCCTTACTTTCACTATTTGCAGTAATCTGAAAGAAAATGGCGAACACATATAAAAGCATATATTTGATTGCTTCTGCCTTCCCTCCTTCAGATGGGACTTGTCCTCTTTCCAACCCCGCACCCCTGGTTAAATGGTGCCCCACTGAGCTACCCACACATAGGAAGTTAGCAATAGTGGCAACTCCATGCATTCAAAAGTCATGATTCGGGCGGCCCAAAATCATAGGATTGGCTAAAAATATAAGGTTTAAAAAGCTGTCTATGCTTCAGGTTGCCTTTTTGCCATTGATCATTGTTTTCAAGCTTCTTATTTTTTTTTTAGGAAAAAGAAAACCAAACACTTAAGAACTAGAAATGTCTTATTGGTAATGAGCACCGAGCTTCTGGTACGATCGCTTGTCTGCAAGAGCTCAAGATTAAAGAAAAACAACAAATACAGGAAGAATCGTGATTAAAAAAAAAAAAATCCCAAAATTGGCAACAGTGAGTGAAGCAGGTGTGTGGGCAGGCCCGAGACGTAATAGGACATGTTTGAGTTCAGTGGGACCAGACTAGCGCTTAAAGGTGACAAGTGCTTAAACATGGAAGTGTTTGCAAAACTGTCTCTTTTTAGACTTGGGAGAACACCTTTTCCTGTGCTTGTGCAGAGCCCAGGAACGACTAAGGTTTCTGGGTGCAAGTGTAATACAAAATAATAATCTGCTACTTTCCATGCACCTATTTTAAAGATTAGGATTTTTGAGTAATTCTCACTCATATTTAAAAAAAAACCCAAACAAAAACAGGCTGTTCCTTTCAAATAACCACAAGCTCTTGCAGTCAGAGTGGAAAATTGAAATTAGCCTCTATTCCCACCATGAAGGAAAAGCCAGGTTTGTCAAGGTTAGGCAATTCAATTTATTCTCCCAGCTCTATCAATGGTACAGCATCTGTTCATCTCAAGAAACCCCCTTATAGACAAACCCAGTAGATGGGATAGCGATGGTCTAGTACCTAAGACAGCCTAGTAGCGAAGTACATTTTCAGTGGGGGAGAGAGCGTGTAACTACACACAGGCTTAAATGTTTACAAGCGCAGACCCCATATAACCCCTCTGTACCACTACTCAATTCCTTCCTTTTCCTTTCCCCTTCCTTTTTCAGGTTTTATTCTAGACAAAGCCATAATCCTCCACTTCTACTTCCACTTCCACATATAATAAAAGGCTTCGTCTGCCTGTGTGTCTGTCTGTCCGTAACGCTTCTGGCCAACTGCCCATGTGCCCGGCAGGGCGGGCGGTGATTGCCGGGAGGGCGGCCTGGGCTGTGCAAGCCCAAGTTTGCACCGCTGTCGGGGAAGTTTGGCAGCGGGGAACGTGCCCCGGCTGCCCGAGCAGCGGGGCTTCCCCCCGTCTCCCTGCCTGAGGGCGAAGTGGGGGGATCACAGTGGTGGTGCCCAGACGCCCCCCACAACAGCCAGCAGGGAGGCCGGTGGATGTGGGCCAGGTGGGCCCCCCGGCATTCTTGATGGGCAATGTGCTAGTCTTCATATAAATACTGCAGTCCTTATTATTTCTGCTTTTTCCCTTGCAGTTTCCCACCAATTCGTACATTTGCATTTATTGAGGGAATTTGCTTTTTGTGGACATCTACCAAACATTTATTTCTAGGCACTTGTACTTTTATAGAAATCCTAGAGAAGTGGGGCTGGAAGGGACCTCTGGAGGTCACATCTAGTCCAAGCCCCTGCTTGAGGCAGGATCATCCCTATCTAAATCATCCCATGCAAATCCACCGTCTAGCTTAACAGCAAAACTACAGAGTCAACTGTGACACGACCATGAGACATAACACCCTGATCTGCCCTAGGTAAAGCAGGGGGACCACAGCAGCCACCATCCTGTTGCTGCAAGGGTTGTTAAAATACACTGGAGAGATCCAAAAAGGGCTGCACCCTGCTACAGAGGAAGTCAGTAACCCTCACAATCCATACTTTGTTGTACTTTATCCCAAAATTACAACCCAGTGCATTTCAGCAGCTTGATCTGATTTTTGTTGTGTTATTTCCCCTCTTTGATAACGCCAAATGAAGGGAAGTCCTACACTCAGTGACACAGGTGGAACCAGGATTTTGAAAAATGGGGTACAGCCGATGAGGCGCACACCATCACATATAACACAACGGGCATGTCTACCTGTGCGCTTTAACGCACAGCAGACTCATTCTACTGCGCATTAAGGCATCATGTCAAAACCAGTGCTAATATGCTAATGCGCAGTAAAATGAGTCTACGCCACATTAAGCATCACTAAAAAGGTGTTTGCTTTTGCTACTGTGCATTAGGGCAGCCGAATATGCCTTTATGTAGTACCTCATATTCTAGGGCACTTACTTTTACACATGCTCCGGGGGTTGGGAGGGAGGCGCTTTAATTAGAGTGGCTCCAAGTGCTGCTCTAATGAAAGCGCCGCTGTGTCTCCCGTATCAGCATCCCAAAGCTTTAACGTGGTGGCAGGGGTGCTTGAATTAAGCATGTTCAACGAGGCCGAGGACTGTCAGCTCTACCCCATCAAGCGGGTTCCTCCATTAGGGACTTTCATGAGCAATGACCATGCTCCATCCCACTCGATTAATCGAGTCGGCTCCGACAGGCTGGAATTCCAGAGTGCCGGAGCAGCCTCCGGCTTGTGTGCAGGTGCCCAGAGGTACTCAACTTAATGTGCGGTAGCCAAAAGCACATTAATGAACATGCAGATGTGCCCAACACGCATTTTTCTCCAGGTAAAAGGCAACTAGAAGCTCTACTAATATTCCAGGGGTTTGGGGCTGGATTCTTGAGCTTAAGACGGAAGCAAACACAAATATAACGTCATTGGAATGAGTTAAAACCAGTCTGCCGGGCTGCGAAAGAGCAGCTACCAGACAGCAGGAAGGCAGAAGAAAAACTAGCTGGATGAGTCGCAAGCCATGATCATTAAAAAGTCATGTCAGCCAGCGCCTCCCCATCATTTTTGCTGCCGTCCACTGGGCTCTCTCCAGTTTGCCCATGGTCACTACTTGGTTATGAACTGTGCATGCAGAAGGACTCAAAGCGGGGTGCAGATGCAGCAGGGCAGTGCACCCCCTGCACCCCCCTGCTCAGTGCCATCTGTGTCCTGCGATCCAGTCCCTTGCAAACACCCATTGGCTCGATCCCAACATTTCCAGGCGTGCTCCAAGGCCGCCCCCTCTGCAGGGGGTGCACAATATTGCAACGCAGATGATTGCACTGCTCCTGTCCCAGCTGCTGCAGCACAGCGACGCCTGCCAGCCCCGCCGCCCCTGCACTGCCCGCAGTGCCGCCTCCCGCCGGCAGGGGCCGCGGGCGCCCCACCCG